ACTTTTAATATTAAACATTAAACTACTGTGTAGTGCTTTTTCTTTCACATGCATACTCACACTGCTGCTTTGTCTGCAGCAGCTGTGTTGCTTTCAGTGATACTACCCGTTTAACCTCTTCATGCCCATAATCTGAGCTGTACTCTGAGGGTCACTGGGTTGCTGCAGTTACAGTACTACATGGTAGTAACGGAGCATGTGCGAATATTTTTGATGACACTGTCGCGGTATCCTTGCATGAGGGATTTTTAAATAATCTTTTCAGCCACAGTCGGAAAAAAATTTTTTTTTGACTTATCACAGATTCCCCAGCATACAAAGAAGAGTTTAAACTGAGTTTCAGTTTACCAGAAATAGTTCTTTTTAAAATATAAAGTAAAATAAATGAAAGGTCTGGAGGTCTGGCAAAGATGAACTAACAAATGAAGCAACAAAGACACCAGGATCAGCATTCCAAAAGGGAAAGAGCAGGGATCTGAGGTTGCTGGAGATAGCCTCCTCTAAATGTGGGGTTACACCACCACCCTAAGAAAGACAGAGGAGATGAGCAAGGGAGGAGCAAGGGAAACAGAAAAGAAGAAAGAAGGAAAGACGAAGCAAACACAAGGGGAGGCTGCATATCACTGATATCACTAATAATTGTGGATACTACTAAAAATCCTGTGAATGTTTATAGTATCCACTACTATCCCCATAGTATCCCGGAATTACGAATGTTTTCGACATTCTTAAATTGTTGTAATTCCAGGGAACAGAAAAACAAATGTTTAAAATCCAAACTGCTCGCCTTAAACATATGGGTTTGCTGACTCTTACTTAGACTACAGTTGAGTGCTTACCTGCACATGTATTACATGTATTTTTACTGCAGTTGACTGAGTTCAGCATGTGCTGTGGATCATATGGTGCTGTGTGTATTCAGTAAATGTAGCCAGATTATTCACACAATGCATGATTCAATACAGCAGTGCAAATGAACTGCAGAGTCTCGAAATAAGCAGCAGTCAGCAGGTTAATGGTCTGACAGTGAGCATCGGTGCGCGCTGCCTGTAGTCCTCTCTCTGCATTAGGTGTTCAGTGCAGTGTGAGCAGTGGAATTTTCATCTCAAGATTTCAAGACTCCCCATGAACTTTACTTTCTTATAGTACTCTCACTGCTGCCTGCTTTAGCAGGTTATGAAGAAAAATGAGAAATTTCACAGCAGCCAATTTAATGTTTCCTCTTTAATCTCACACGAGGGATCAGTAACCGACTCTCACATCTGTCTTTGCAGTTCTTTGTACTGCTTCCTCCACTTCATAACCTTCTCCTTCCTAACTCACTCTCCCTCCATCTTAAAACACTCACTGCCCTATCCCTCGTATTCCATTGTCAGTCTCTACTTTCCCAGTTGTAAGAAGGGTGGGATTGGCACCAGCATCCAACCACCAGCATCGCAAGGATGGGGGCATCAGCCCCTCCTAAGTTATTCATACAGGTTTCATGAAGATGAAGCCACTGATAAAGAGAAGGAGCAGTGAGACTCAGGTGGACGAATGAAAGAACGTTCTCCATGTGCTATTTCTGCCTCTGACAGGCACTTTTGGAGTCATCCTATCTTTGTTTCTGTCTCACTCCCACGCCTCCTCCTCCTTGACTGAGTTTTGGAGCATGTTCTGCCGGGTGTGATTGGAGGGCAACGCTCCAGGCAGATGTAAATCTGGTGAGGGTTGTTGGCACAGGGGGAAACAGAGGATGTCAAATGAAAATCCTGTCTCCATCTCCAAGCGGGCTATTGCGCTTAAAGGTGGACTGAGATCTGGGTCTTTGTGGATGCTAAGCTTATCACGAGCCGGGTGCTTGACCTTTTCACCTGCAAGTCATGTCAAAATTGCTCAAGAACAAAAATGTGTCCTGGGTGAGTACTGCCTGTCTGGTAGGCTGATGGGGGGAGGCAGATTATTTCAGCTCAATGTTTAATGCTTCTCAATTCTGTCAGGCTTATCTGCTTTGAAATTTGTCGTCTATGGTTGCATTTTCTAAGGAATGATGCGTGTAGAAGTTTCAGTATATCAGAGTTTGGTTTGTATATTCAAAAGACAAACTCACTGTCGGTGATGCCTCTTCTGCACATCTGCTTTGGTTTGTCCAACAGCTGTGTGGTGATAAAAGGCTCAGCTCTTCTTCAGCTTGCTTTGCACCATCCTGCCGTGTCAGTCGTACACCGTCAGAGCATCAACTGACAAAAACGTATGAAAAGACACTGACTGGGCTGAAATCGATGAATGGAAATAACTCTAGTTCACTCGGGGCTAACTTGTGTTCACCAGGCTTCCAGTGTTAATGATTAAAAATTTTGGTTGTGTTCACTTGTTACCAAAAATAAGATTTTCAGTCTTTTCTTATCTATTTATTTATTACTTTAGTTCAGGGGAGGTGTGTGGGTTTATGGACATTGGGGAGGGTGGAGTGTCTAGTCTTGCCTGAAAATTATGCATGCTGTCCATCTCTGGCTCAGCAGTCCCACAGTACCGGCCCCAGATTGACAGAACACACACACACAAAGGTTATAAGAAGCTTATGGACAGGTCTTTGTTTATGTATGTGTAAAAGCACATGTGCACATGGACTCATGTGTGGAGGAGTGGATGACAAGTGAGATGAAAGATGTGTGCTTTATATTTCTGCATTTTAACACTAAAAAAAAATCTGTGACTATATATATTTATGGAGAGAGAGAGAGAGAGATAACTGAGTGAAGAAGTCTACAAAATTGTTTCTGTCAGATGTCTCAGATTAAGTTAGTGTAGTGAGTTCTGTCAACTATTTTTTCTATAGTGAAGATTTTGATAAGTACATTTGTTTGAATATATGTTTTTACATATGTTTTTACTGGGTATATGGCAGCAGCAGAAGTTGAAAAGTTTTTATCTCTTTTAATCTGCCAAACATTATTCTAAAGGCTTTGATAGTTCAGGGAAAAAACAAGAAAAGGTTAACGTTACCCTTGTCTGTAAGTCCAAAAAATATTGCGGTATTATAGAAAGTATAGACATGTTGCATGTAGCTTTTGTGTCTGATAAGTGAAACCAGTGTATGCTGTAGAGACTGTTATCTGTCTAATAGCCAAAATTCTGGCCAATTCTTTTGAAGAAATCTGGCTGTATAAAAAGTTCTGGGAAAAATAGCTCTTGTGTCACTTGATCTTTGACCGCTGTAAAGTTTATGGGTTCAGTTTCTATTTTCAGTTCTTACTTAATACAACATGATTTTCATTTTGTAAATTATGGTCCCGATTAATGTGCAGAAAGAAAGTAGTGTTTATATAGAGCTACAGTATGGTACAAAAGTCTTGAGCTCATTTCTTTATATTTTACTAGGAAAATGGGAAATCAGTGCAGATTGAAAGGCAATGTTTAGTGTGACTAGCTTTATTCTTCATCACAGCTTGAAGTCTCTTAGGCAACTTTCTTGTCATTTCTTGAAGTAGTCTGCAGGAATCGTTCTCCATGCTTCTTGAAGGACATTCAAAACTTTTTGGGGGATGTTTGCTGCCTTTTGTTCCCACTCTGCTTTACTAGTGTACAGTCTGGACTTTGGGGAGGCAAATCCATGTCTAAAAGTGCTGCACATTGTCTTTTTCTATCTAATTTATTGCAATAACAGCGCATTTGAAGCATTGTGATACTGAAAAGTGAAACTGTTGCCATTCGGATGCTTTTGAGATGTTATTGCATGGTGGCTCAAAATCCATCTGTTGTTTTCTGAATTTAAAATTCCATCTATTTTGGCAAGATCCCCCAAACTACTGGCTTAAATGCAGCACCAAACCAGGATGGAGCCTCCAAAGTTTTTTGCAGATGTCTGTCGACACTCACTGTCATATCGCTTTCCTGACCCCCTCTGTACTGATGATGATGATTTCAGCCAAAATTTTCACTTTGTTGGAGTGTTTCATTGGCTCTGCAGGGGAACCTCCTATTGCTTGAGGATATTTAAGGTGTCATAGATCAGAGTTTAGTAAAGGCCAAACTCTGTTAGAGCTCAGGTGACCGCAGCTGTCTGACCTCTGATCAGCAGCATAGATATTGACAAGGACAAGAGCCGTGTGTGTGTTTATGTGTGTATAGAGCCCACATGTACATCTGACCCAGGATTTATTATCATCTCTCCACAGAGTCACAGCCTGGCTCAGCTGACTACAGGTCTGCATTTTCTTTTCTATTCTCAGTTTTATGTAACACTCCCATCTTTGTCCCTCTTCTCCTTATAAGCTCTCCCTGGAGATTTTGGTACCACACGCCCATCTGCTCATGTCCCCTGTCCAGCTGTCCAGGTTGCAAGCCAAACACTGTTACTTACCTTTAAACAGTAGAAGAGGAAGTATACATTTTTTTTTTTTTAGGTCCTATGAAATGCGTAAAGACAGAATGATAAAATTAAATTATAAACCTTTATAAACCTTTTCAAATCAGAGGTATTATCAGCAAAATAGTTAAGCAGTAAAAGTAAATTGGCATTGTGTTCAATGATCTTTAATAAACAGCTATTACACTATTTAAAATGACGAAATAATGTGGATAATATACAAGCTAGTTAATAACTGGTTTGCAAACCTTCTGTTGATTTAGCTTCAAAAGAAGCAGCGTCTATGTGTGGCTGATACTTGGCATCGAGTTTTAGTGGTGACATAATGACACCGAACCAATGTGATGAAAGAGTCTCTCTGCGCTCTCTGGATGATGAATTCTGTTTGTCTGTAATTCCATGCTGTAAATCGGGCGCACAATGGAATTATGGTCTGCTTGTTTTTTTTAATTTCCATCTTTCTATTTTGGAGCCATGCCATTATAACACTCCAATTCTTTTTTTCTTCTTTTTTTCTTTTTTTTTGCACACAAACCCTAGGAACACGCGCGCACACTAATCAGGGACAGCACGCACAGAGGATGGATTCTGTTCTTTAACAAAAGGGGGGAAAAGAAAGTATTTAGAACTCATAGAAAGCTCGGGTGGGTTGGAGACTTTCCTGGTGTGTTTGGTGCCCGAGGTCAGAGTGAGCGGTGTGCGGCGTAACAGATGCCGCACGGAGAAATAAGCCTTTAATACCCACAGGACTCGGGAAGGGGCAACTACACTCAACTCACATCAGCGACTTAAGTGAAACCCTTCACGCAACTCTCGCAGTCTCCGGTGGTGTCCTCGGCGTCGCGGTTCTGAGAAGAAATTGCATCCTCACGCTCAAACTGGCGCGCAGGGAACACGCGTATCTGTTGCACTGAAGAGCATCCTCGGAGTTATCCACCTGAGTGGAGGGAGAACCACTCTCATGGCATGCTTGCCCATTTGTTTACTGGAGCCAGGTGAATGGTGATTTGAAGTGGTCGTTACAGCCTTGGAATAGCGCTACAGGACACCTTTAACTGCCATGCCGCCCAAAAAGAAGGTAACATTTCAGATATTTCTTTTTCGTGCATATCTGTGCGCGTGCGCGTGTGCTGAACAGGAAGGGTTGGAGAATACGCCATCTGTTGCACTGGGCGTTAATCCTTGTGTGAGGCCTTTCCACATCGTTGCACTCGCTATGTAACAGCGCGCAGGGCAGATAGAGATGCATATCCGCATGCTTGTATCATGTCATATGTCCAGCTGAAAAACAGACTTCAGATAGGGTTGCATAACCAATAGTCTGTGAAAATCGGATGGATTAAATCTCTTCTCGAGCTTCTCCCTCTCATTTATGACTCTTGTACTCGCGGTGAACTTTGTGGCATGTGGTATTAAACCCCAAACTATGTGCTGCACCTGTTTGGCTTTCTTTTCACTTCACGTGTTGTAGCTGTAGAGCACGCCATCAGCAGCATGGTTTTGTGTCTCTTGCACATGCTGTGCAGTCCATGCATTGTTTTGTTTTAGTTATGAAACCAAGCTCCAGTTTGTAGTATTCAGGTAAACTTCACAGAGTGAGGCACCCACTTCTCAGTCTTTTAAACAGCTTGAGGGTGAAGTAACAGTACTTAACGCTGTTAGGGGGTATTCCCAAAATCTATTTAAAGACTCCTTTAGCAATCAGCATCACAGCAGCAAATCTTATTTCCTTACACACGCAAACTTCTTAGCTGGAAATAATCTAGTGGCCTTACTGAATTTGTACAGCATGGACCATATTTATACGTCTAATCATCAGTCATATTGGTCTCTGTTTATTTATTTTCTCACATCTCATATTACAAAATACAGTGCCAGTATTGTCTGTCACATTTCCAGAAGGAACTATAAGAATTTCTTCTATATTTTGGTCTTTAGGTTCATTGTTTTTGTGACATACAGCTTTTCCTTTTTGTTTTAAACTGTGCTACTACCTAACAAAACACAAAGTTAGAGAAACAGAGTGGGCAGGGAGTGTAAGAGACAGTAGTTGCCGGAAAACAAAAATGGCTATAGGAAAGTGAATACCATTTGCATGGTGGCTAGAAACATTACTTCAAATACTAATGTTCCTCTGTAGCTGCAGAATATGTAAAATGAAGTATAGTTTGATAACACGCTAGCTGTAGTGGCCAAAATAATTGGAAACATACCTTCAAAGGTTCATTAATACCTTTAGAACAGGAGGAAGTGTTTGGACATACGCTTCTTGGTTTAACAAAGCTGATATTTTTCTCCTTTTTTGGAGATATAATACTAACACATCGCAGGAAGACTTTGGCTGGCCTACTCTCTTGGATTGCAGTGCTAGTTAGTGCTGGCCCACTGCTTGTTACTTAGAATAGGAAAAGCCTCTTAGTAGTTGTTACTGGGGCATTACATGCTGATACCTGCTCTCCTTCCAGGCAGGAAGTGGAGTAATAAGATGTGGAGCTGTGTGGAAAGTTCCAGAAGTATCAGTAAACCTGTTTCCTGTGAAATTGGGGCTGTTTCCAAATTTAAAATGTTATTGTTTGCATCAAACTTTTTGCAATTTAAAAACAAAACAAAAACTACTCTATATTTATTTTATTTTGTGTTTAACTTGATGTCAGGCTTTTGTGCTCATAGAGTGACAGTTCCAGTGATAGTGGTTGCTCAGTACTTGTGCAATAACTAAGTGAGAAATGATCAGAACACCAATGGCTGGCAAAATGATATTTTATAATCCCCACACATGCGCACACCCCTCCGCACACCAGTTCTAATCACGTTGCATCACAGCGTTGTGCAGAGCAGAAGAGCAGAGAGATTTCTGTGAACTATAGATGAAATGTATCTATTACAGGGGCCCGGCAAGCCAGGATTTAAGTGATACAGATACGACAAATGCTTCTATTTTATGTATATCTGATGACTGTCAGGGAGCACTTGAGCACATCCAGTCGAAGCTGCAGTGTTGGCTGTCTGTGAGGAGTTTGTCTCTCTGTCTCTAAATCCTGGATTGACGCATGCTATCTTAATCTCCTTACTCAGAGACAATCATGACCCAAAGAGAGAGAGAGACAGAGATAGAAAAGGATCCAAATACACTTTTTTTGTTTTTCTTCTCCCTCCCCTCCCCCCCCCCCCCCCCCCCCCCCCCCCCTTCATTTTGGGCAATTTTTTTTTTTTTTTTTTTTTTTTTTTTTGATGAATGAGTAATCATTAACTGCAAAGTGATGAGACTGAGTGATGAGATGTTACTCTTTAAAGATTGACCAATATTGGATTTATGAGGATGATACAGACACAGATTTTTTGGGAAAAGAAATTTGATATTGATGTGTTGGTGGTAGAGGAGCTTCACAAACCAGTTAGCAGCTTAATATTAGGACACAACTGTGGTCCAGCTGTGATGCATACTCTGCTACATGTGCTGCACACAGTGCTGATAGAGTTAAGAGTATTGCAAGCAGTGGAATCAGAAGTGTTGTAATGCCACCTTTTCTAAATCACTCCAAGAGTCTTTTTTCCACAGTATGTTTTAATGTTTCCCACAGATGTAAGCAGCTACAATGTGTTTCTTGCAGGATGACTTCTAATTTCATGCCCAGGCATAGCAGAGCAGCGATCTGTTCTTCTTCATACATTTAAATAAATTAATCAAATAATGTTTATTAATTTCTTTAGTTGCAATTACAAACTGTAATTAGACACGGCAGGGTGATGAAATCAGAAAAAAAGAATACATGAATGAAATGAAATCCTGCCATTAAATTTATTTTTGAACACTGCCAATAAAGCAGGGTGTTTGGGGTAATTCAAAAAATCTTCCATACGAAACTGCAAGCCCATCTTAAACTGTTCAGTGATATTTCTTCTTTGTTGGCCTTTTTCTTTCTCTCAGCATGACATGTTGATGGCACTGACTACTACAATAAGTTCCCGATGTTTATTTGTTGTCCAGTGATTCAAGACTCTTTCAGCACTTTATACTAGAGCCTGAACAATTTGTTAGTGGGCTCATACTATTTGTCATATCGATCTACTGGTGTCATCATTAGTAATGACTGATAAATGAACTTGAAACACCCTTCAACAGTGAGTGTTGGCGTTACATAGATTGTCCACCAGAGGGCGCTCTGCAACTTTGTTGTTCATGAAATGTGTTTAACTCTCCACAAACGCACCAACCGGCTGATCTTAGCAGAACTGGGCAGAACCAAAGAATAACTACGCAAAAAATTAGAAGCATGACATATTCCATACTTACTGTACAGTCTGTTATTTCAGATTTTTTTATTATTATATTCTTTACTTTTGTGTGAATCCACCTGCTCAATCTGCCTGTCACTTTGCTGCTGCAACACTTGAATTTCCTTCAGTGACGGAAAATAAAGAATATGTCTATTCTATTCTATATTGGGTTTTCTCCACACATCAGATATCTTAAAAAATCCAATGTCAGTTGGACTCTAATTTATATATTTTTTGTGTGTGAATCCTTTTTTTTTTTTTACCGTCTTTTAACAGATTCTCCAGGAAATTAAAAAACTATGCTCCTATTCTTTTGGTTTCTAGAAATTATGTCCTAACAGAATTTATAGAAGTATGGTTAAGTTGTGGGATTGCATTAAAAAAGCTGTTGCCACCACGTGTTGCCAGAAACTTTTGTGTGACTTTAAAAGTTTCAGAAATTTAGATGACGGTGGTGAAGAGCTTTATCTAACAGATGTCCATCCATTTCCCTCCATTTATCCAATTCAGAGTCACAGGGGCTGGAGGCTATCCCAGCTCTCATAGGCATCAGACGGGGCGCAGGTCGCCAGTCTGTCAGGGGGCTCAAATAAAGAGACAAACAACAATTCACTCTCACATCCACGTCTGCAGCCAGTTTAAAATTTCCTTTGAACAGTGGGAGACAGGCAGAGGATGCCCACCCTACCACTGCACCACCCTCTCATTCTAACAAATATGCTGTATCCTCTTGTGTGCTAAGGATGGGGACTGGTCTGCTACAGTATGTAAAACTCATTTCTCTTGTAACATGAAAATTAAGCATACTCTCTCAAAACCCACTTAGATACAACTAATATTGCATTAGTATTCAAACTATGGATTACCCATTGGCCACGTGGTCAGGACATTTCAGCTCCTGACAAGCTGGAATGTTGCTGGTTGTTATTCCTCTTTGCTCTAAAGAAACAAAAGCTGACAGTATGGGCCCTCAAATATGTGATCATGTATCAGCCATCAGATTTTGTCTACATCTGTCTGAATTGGAGGAGCCATTAAGTTACTAATAATCTAATTTCTACAGTTTCTACATTTGTCACTGCAGCAACAGCAACCTTTTTTTACCCTTTATTTTTACTGGCAATATCAGCAGCCATAATAATGATAAAGCCCACATTAACAAACTATATATGAATTAAAATACATTTACCGTGGTACTGATTTACTGCCTCTTTTGATCTATAATTTGAGATCTAAAGAGATGTGATGCAGCCTTAAACTCCACAGACGGAGATTCGTGCCAAAGTAAAGATAGCTGTGCCAGCCCGGCCGTATCTGCTCTATGGTAGCATCAGGGAGAGGGCATGGAGCCAGTCTCCTTCAGACAGATGATGCAAAGCAGCTGATTAGACAGGGCTTGGAGAAAACAGGATCAGAACACTCACTGCATGCAAATGAACTGGCTGTTAATGACCAAGAGATACAGTAGCAAAGAAATCATCACAATATACAGAATAGGATGTCAAAGTAAAAAATGAACTGCAGAAGAAGATGGGTGTAAGAGAGCTGAGTTTCATTATTCCTCACCTACAGAAAAAAATATGAGGAAATATTTATTGGCAAAAATTGACAAATGTTTCACCACACCTGGGCTTGTTGCCAGCGCCTCATTGGTGGGCCGACAGGAAATTAGTCACAATTAGATCACTGACCTGCTCTGCAGATAACAATAAACTGTAATGAAGGGGAAGAGGCCTGTGTTTGGGTCCTTTTTGATGCATGACTCTCTATTCAGCAGCAAGCTTTTAATAACCATCCCAG